AGATGGCAGCCTGCAAAGGAAGATGCAACAGCTTTTTAGGATCCGTGCTGCCATATGTCTTGACTGAAGGACCACCTTCAACACTCTCGGGCCACCTCTTTTGTAGTTCGGTGAGGTACGCAGTCGTGACACGGATTTGGCTAACCCATCATCCAAGCAGAATGTTTTGCGTATAAAACACCCACTGTTCTTTATCATGGGTTTTTACTTCATGCTCATCACACGCTTCGGTTTCAGGAACGTATTGAGCTGGAGAAGACGATGGTTACATGTCTGTGTGATGTGGACTGCATAGCCACAGTGGGCGACCTGTGGCACCACATTCGCCACCAGGTGACAGCTATTGCCAAGGAGACCATCGGGTCAGCAAACTGTAAACGGCCTGACCGGTTTGATGAGAACAATACGAGGATTGGATCAATGGTGTGTGAGTAAGATGCAACATTTGCTGCACATGCAGCAGACTCCAATAACTTGGGTAAGAAGAGAAACATTGGGCGGATTCGATGTCGACTGACCCAGAGATCCGTCGCATTATAAATGCTTGGTGTACGCAGAAGGCGAAGCACATGAAATGCTACGCCGAACGCCGCCAACACAAGGAATTATTTGACTCCTTGAAGGTGGTGTATGGACCGAGAATGGAGCCGCTGAGGACGCTGATCGATGGTAGTTCATGCGCTACCTGCACACAGACTGCAGACATAATGCAGATCTGACGAAATCACTTTGTCTCTTGAACAACCGTTCATAGATCGACTGGCCTACATTGAACGGTCTGAAGCAGCATGATGTAAAGGCGAATCTGGCGGACATGCCGACACTGGATGAGACGTAGAAAGCGTTTGCTCAGCTGCGAAACGGCAAGTGTGCTGGGGCCAACGAGATCCCACCTGAAGTATTAGTACACAGAGGAACAGCGTTGGTGACTGCGCTGCACCACTTGCTGCAGCACGTGTGGATTGAAGATTAGGTGCCTACTGAGCTGAAGGATGCTCTTGTGCGACCACTGTACAAGGACAAAGTGAACAAGCAATGTTGCACGAATTATCGTGGCATCAACTTGCTGAGTTGTGTAGGCAAGTTGATTGCCCGAATCCTGCTCAACCGCCTCGTCAGTCAGATTGTGGAACCTAACTTTGCGGAAGACTGATGTGGATTCCGTTCAGGTCGCAGCACTATAGATATGGTGTTTGCTGCTCGTCAGTTGCAGGAGAAGTGCAGAGAACGACAGCAGTCATTGTACTCGCTTTTTCTTGATTTCACCAAGGCATTTCATGTGGTGAACCGCGAGGCATTGTGGCTGGTGTTGGGTAAGTTTGTTTGCCCGCGTAAGTTTGTAAGTTTAATTGAATGTCTGCACATTGGTATGCGAGCGAGGGTGCAGCTGAGTGGAGAGACCTCAGATGACTTTGCAGTTGTCACTAGTGTGAAGCAAGGCTGTGTCTTAGCTCCTGCCCTGTTTAATATATATATTCATGCAATGATGTCTTGTGCTTTTGATGCCGCTTGTGCTTACGGCGTTCGTGTGGAGCACCGTACTGATGGTGGGTTGCTGAACATCCCTCGTTGCGGTGCGAGAACCCTAATCTGTAAGACAACTATCTGAATGTTGTTGTTTACTGACGACTGTGCTTTGTTTTCACACAGCGCGGATGAGTTGTGGCACATGACTAGTGCGCTGGCGTCAATAGTGACCGAATTCAGGCTCACCATTATCACAATCAAAACTGTCTGTCACTTTCAGCCTTTACCGGAGGTGCAATCTTCAGTATTACCGCGAATCAGCATTGGTGCTGAAGTATTGGAAACCACCTCCCGATTCTGCTACCTTGTGAGTGTGGTGTCGACTGACCAACAGATACACATTGAGCTTCACATCCGCGTGTCGAAGGCAGCGACGGCATTCGAGAAGCTTGAGTACCGAGTGTGGAACAGCCATCAGCTTAGCATTGGCACGAAGCTGTTGGTGTACAAATCCATGGTGCAGCCAGTTCTTCTATACGGCAGTGAAACGTGGAAGATGAACCGGCGGGATGTGCGATATCTCGAGCGGTTCCATCAGCAGTGTTTACAGCGGAGTATGCGCATCGGATGGGATGATAGAGTTGCGGACCCCTAAGTGTTGCGTCGAAGTGGAATGTATGCAGTGTACTGCGTACTCTTACTGAGACACCAGAAGTGGCTCGGTCATATGAGCCGTATGAATTCAACGCGGATATCGAAACAACTCTGATATATATATATATATATATATATATATATATATATATATATATATATATGGTCAGATGAGTATTGGGAATCGGCATGTGGGGAAACCGAAGTTACATTACCAGGACATGATCGAAGTGAGCCTCTGACGTTCTAATCTTGATTGCAGGTCATGGGAATCGAAAGATTTTTATCGGCGTGTATGACGCGATCTGATCACGAAGGCAGTTGCCGAAGTGCGGGAGAAAGACCTCATACATGGGGAAAACAAGCCGCAAATGCGGAAGTGGCAAGCACCCATGAGTTGTAATCCATCGACAACGAGCGCAATGTGCTGCAGCACTTGCGATCGCGAGCGTCGGAGTCAGGCAAGCCTAGTCAGCTATAAGCGAGGCCACTTGTGGCCACCACCAAAGCGACGACGGGGCCTGCACAGAACGTATGCAGAACCGGCGCAGCGTTTGTAGGTACTCTGCATTCCATTTACTAACCACTTGCTTTCATGCTAAGTCTCCTTATTGCAGGTGATGGGTTTTCAATTTTGTCATAATGCTTTTCTCTCTTAAATAAATGTCCACCTGTACTCTTTTCTATAAACTTGCACCCGTCGCTTAAGGCGATTTAGTTAATTTCAATAACATTCTCATGTTTGTGGCATTTCCGTAAAATATACTTTCGGACCTTGCGAACTTATCTCAGATTCTTTTGGAAACAACTTATTTCATGTGCTCATTAATTTAAGATTTTTACCACCGTTTCATTATGCATTACTCGACTTTTTATTTTATCTTTCAACTGATTGGCTGTTGCTTGACATCCCCAGTGTGGCTGCACTTGGTGTGCATGTTGACAAGGTGCCTACCTGTCTATTACCCACTACCTCGTCCATACTGGCTCTAGGAGACAGTTGGTCGTTGCTGGAGGGAACGGGGTGCTCGGTCCTTGTGGGCGTGCTAGGCTCGAAGAGTGGTTCCATGCCCTCAGTGTGGAGCGGACTATGGTCCAGCCACCGCCCTGTGTGCGCTTGCTTCCCCAAATGCAGCGCGCTTGTGTTTGGTTTTTGAAGGTGCGTGGGCCGGCTCCGTTGATGAAAGGTGGGTCGCATCCACATGCCTCCCGGTCTTATTCCTTCGGGTTTACACTGGATATGGGGTGTGTGGATAGAGCTGTGGGTGGTGCAGCGCAAGCCATCCATGGTCCCTGTGTAGGCGCAGGCGTTCTGTGGCTTGCCACAGTGCCAGGCAAATCAGAAACCGGATGCAGCCAACCATATGTATGTGAATGAACCCATTGCTGTGGTTTAAACACAACTCTAGCTGAGATAACCGTATCTGTCAAGCCGAATATAAGTGACGGTTTAGCCTAGGAAGCGCAAACTATTTCACCAGATCTCATGCTGAAATATAACCTAATCCTATAAACATTGATGCCATAAATCTGACAAGGGATGATGCAAGGTTCGCGCCTAAGTCGTAGCAACTACTGCTCGCGTATAGAGCATATGTACGGTATTTATGTGTGCAATCTGACTAATGTACAAAGACACTAGTGCTGTTTGTATATTTGTTCCACACAGCTGACCTGCTTATGCTCGACAAATCTCATTTAAAATTTCTGCGTCGTTTTTGAAATGATCAACTAGTGTCCCGTTCGGTCACGCCGGCGAAGGACTGCTTTTCGTTAGAAAGACATCCAGGAATGCGAGAGCCGGAGAAGTGTAGGCAGTCGGGACATCATCAGAAATTTTGCCAGTCTGCTTTTCAAACTGACACACAAATATTCTGGAGGAATGGTAAAACTTTTTAAGGAGTTGGGAGTAAGCACCTGGTTGATTTCAATCACTAGGGCGGAAAGGTCTGGCAGCCAATTTCAAGGCCTCACCTGTGCTATTGCAACCATGTACCAGATAGGTGAAGCGGTTTTCAAGGTTTAAGCTGAGACAGTATTCGATTTGGGTTCTGTAGTCTCGGCATGTCCCATGTCATTCGGCATTTTCATGGGTTGGTATTATAATTAAATCCACTTTCGGTGTGTTTGCTGGTATTTTCTTTTATTGCTAATTTTCTGTTTAAGGCGACTAGTAGCAACATTACTGTGACATTTCAAATGCATCTCCAGTGTTCGAAATGACACCAGAATAGAACAAGTGTATTTCTTCAGCCATCCGCTGACTGTTCGATGAATTGATATATCTACGTTCTCTTTATAAGTCTTCAACAGGTGAAGAAGATGTTTTGTAAAATAACTTGCTTCTGTATCGAGTAAATTTTGTGACTTGCTCACCAAACAAATTACAGATCACGTCTCAATTTATCGAAAACTTGCGCCTGATCCAGAGGTTTCGGCAGCAATTCAGAATTAGGAGAAACTTTACCCTAGTAATCTCATAATTAAAAATTGTCAAAAACTCAAGTGATAGCATGACAAAGCACTCATTCTCGAAGAGGGGAAAGTTTTGAATAGAGTTGCTAAAGTGACCGGGCACTCAAAACTGCTTCTCTTCTGGGAGTTCGCGCTACAGTACTTGTTTCAGTTATATCAACATGAGTGATGGAATCTGCGTAGGTGTGACAGGCAATCTTTCTGTAGCTTTGGGTGTACAGTTTGCTGAATCCGTAATGGCATATGAATCGTCGCTTATACAAGCCAATCACACGAATATTAGTGAACGCCTACACACAGTTGAATTCACGTTTACGACAAATACTACCTCACTTATCCTTTTATGTTCGTTGAGTCGGGGAAGATCTGAATGCAGCACGCTTTATATAATGAGATCAACTTACGTCTGGAAGATTCATCCGCGGTTTCAGTGGGACCAGTCGGTGAGGTATCGGTTGCGCTGGTAACAGAGGTAGAAGTATCGACTGGCGTCCCAGTGCTCGATCCAGATACAGTAGGCTCGGGAGTACCAGTGACGTCGGATTGCGTTGTGTAATCAGTGGATAGAGATCTGTCAGTCTCCCCGTAGGTTGATGTGGTATCTGTGGCAGAAGTTTCAGAACCAGACACATGCAAACCCGAGTCACTTGTTGTGATCGTACTTGGATCAGTAGAAAACGCACTCGGATCGGTTCGCTTCTCTGAGCTACTAGTCAGAGATCCTGCATTAGTTGTGCTGACTTCCCATGTGTCACTGGTTCCAGTGTGGATTGACGGATCCGATGCTAGGAGTGGAAGAAAGCAATATCGATGTTATCACCAAAGCTTACTCTAAGGCAGTTACTCATGCCTGACAACTATCACTCTGTGGTCTTTCGTGATTTAATGGTATTGATCTACTGGTGTTTGTGATATCACATGGAGGAAGCGGTTTTTCTTTAAGTGAAAAGTCGAGGATCTCTAGTCTGGAGTCCAATGTTCCGCAGGAATTGTGAAACGACTTATGAGAATCGGGATAAGCAATTTTGTCTCAACCTCCTGAAGAAAACAGTGTAGCATTCGGTTTTGTTGGTCACGCCTGTGCTACCTCTAACAAGCCAATATATGAAGCGGTTTATTGTAGTTAACTATTTTATCTTAACTCTTGATTCGGATTATTAGCCGCTTGATCAATATTGATAGCTTGCATTTGGAAAATTCAAGGGCTGGAAATGGACTTTGAACCCTAGGCGGAATATATTCTCACTGTAATGAGTATTCCACTACTTTTTAAATTCATTTCCAAATCTGTAAATTATTCGCAGGTTCGTTACATTCTTCTTTTTTACTTTTCTTTCGCATGATGCATTATAGTAGCACAATAAACACAAACTTTTAATTTTCACTATTCCATGTTCATTACTGAATTTAGTTTACTGGATCTGCTTTTTGCACATCAAGTTTATGATCCTACATTTTTGTTCAACGAACTATTCCTTCAGGCTTGTTATCTGAGCCGAAGGACTGTAGTACCAACACAAAGGGAAGAGTTGATAGTCTCCTTTCGGATTTGTTTCATTTTGCTTACTCTGTTGCGTATGTTAGCCTACATTTACGGCCTCAGAAATGCAACTACCTAATTATTGGCTCATGATGATCACTAAGCCGTTAGTCTACTATAAAAGATGGATTTGTCGGTAGTCTTTTGACGGCTTCCATGATTTCAATCTGCGAACGTGTATCGACTTAAGGTAAAATAGGTGATTTACTCTTTAGGTAGCTACTTTATATTCTGTTCACAATTTATTGTATATCACATGTGCATTATTCAATTGGGAGTCGATATGTTTATTTCACTAAACTGCTGTGATATCACCTTTGGACTTGAAGTTTGAAAAATATGTCTTCACTGAATTTTTCTGTTATGTATACTGCTACTGGTAAGGGCCGTTACGATTGTAGTCAACCGCATGCGCCATAGGTACTGTAAACCTAACGCAGAATTGGTTTAATTGCCGGTGTCAGTAAGGAGCGAAAGATAAACAAGAACAAACGAAATTCAACTGTTTAACGTGATCAGCAGCGATCAAGCAACGCTAGTTTCAGCATGTTTTAGGCAGGTACATACAAACCGGTTTTCCTCAATATTTCTTATTTTGTCACGAGCTTGCTATGCAAATTTACTTGAGCAGTGCTGAACAGTATCTGAAATGCAAATACTACCGCCTAGGAACCAAACAACTGGTGTAGCAATTGCGCTGATAGAGAACAGTTACACTGTCAGTAGAATCGTTCGAGAATGTCAACTGCACGGACCATCGGAATGGTGCATGGTGTGTTTATTCGCTTTATCTAGGTCAGTGAAGGATAATCGAATCCAAGGACACTTGAAATCACATATGTCCTCAAGTTCATTGCTCTCAGGCGTTCACCTACTTATGCTGTCATTACGGAGCAGCAAATGATGTGAACGGACGGTAAACTTGTGGTGAACTCGCTGCACCTATATGGATGCTTTTATTCCGTCAGCGGATCTGTTAAGATGGCCTATAAACCATCAGTAGTAGATTCCCTCTTCGTGTAGGTTCAGGAGATTTTCGGCAGCTTTTATTTGTCTTGAACTTCAGATATTTCCGTATGTTTTACTAACTAATTTCATATTCTCTGACAGCGTTCAGCTAAGAGGAGAATTGACGCTTGTTGACATTTTGTATGGTCTCGTTAATGCACAAACAATAACGGCCATTTACACGACGGCAGGTAGGGTGCAACCGACACACGGTACAGACGGAGTGGAAGACAGATGTAGCAGGCTTACGCCCAGAGCAGCGTAAGGCTTGCGAGCGGCTGCTTCTATACACAAGGGTGGATTTTATCTAGCTGTTGGCGATTGCTTAGGAAACACATAGGAAACCGACGTTGGTATGCCTTAACACCATTTTAAACTGTGTATAAGGCTTAAATCGATGACAGGAGGCTAGTAAGTGCCCAACTACGTATGGGGCAGTTGGCTTACATGAACAAGTGATATGAACAATCTACCACTGGGTGGTTTCACGCTGCAACCACTTAGACACAGTTTCGCTTATTCTGAGGTTCAACGCCATGTTACCACGGCCGATATAGCATGATCTAATTGGCTTCAACTGTATAATGCAAAAGAAAAAACATCTTAAAGTTTAATACCTTTTCTTATATATTAGAAGATATAGTATGTAATTACCACCAATCTGGTGGTCTGATTCACCTATTCTATATACAAACTTGAACATTCTGTGTTTATCTACCTAAGTTCACCGTAATTGGTAAAATAGATGTTACCATGTAATCGAACAGAGACGGAAGCTGCTGATTGGAGTATGAAGTGATTGGTAGTAGATACATGAAGCAGTAGCAAAGTTGCTTCAGAAATTAGAAGACGTCTGTTATTTTCATTCCGTCTACGAATTGCTGTGTGAATATCTCATCCGTTAGACAAAGAACCGTTTTTTTACGTTGGGCGTGGCATGCAGCGTCCAGCTATCATGTGTCGGGCGTTTATTGACATAGACATGCAATACACGCAGCATAGACTTGACTAGTTAATTTTAATGTGGTGGGATTCTGCGTACAACACTAAAAATGTTCTATGCTAGGGAATGGGGAACGCTAAAATCAAAGTAGCAAAGATACAACTGGCTGATATCTATATAATCCTAGTAAGCTCCATGAGTTCCCACGGAAAGTGAATGATATCGTTGCAATGAAACAATGGGACGATGGCCTATTACGGACAAAAAAGCTGATGCTTAGTAAGTCCCATAGGATGGCCAAGAAGAGAACCACAACATGGTGAATAGAAAACAATTAATAAAATTAAAATGGTTTTAGTGGATTCGCAGAAAGAGCCAAACACATTTGTTTAGGTTAATTCTGGTTGTGTAACGTTCGTAGAATTATGTCCTCTGTCGAGATGCAAATGCGATATCTTGAAATGTAAGTGGGTTAGGGCAACCTAAAGACGTTTTATAAACACAGCTAAAGTGGGGGCGGAAACAAGCTTATTTGGGAAGGCGTTCCAAGACTGAGACACACGAAGAGAGTAAAAGTTCCATGGACATTATAGTCGACTGTATTGCGTAGCTAATTTGAACTGGTGGCCCCTCAAATTCGTGTTGTAGCTCAGTTGTGGTAGGTGACAGCAGAAGTGATTGGCTTTCCTTAGAATCTGGTAGGCCATAATAAGGTCGCCAAGTAGGCGCCGATACCGGGCGATGTATGCTTTTAAGGTCCACAGTGTAATTTGATATGGGAGGTTGAACTACCCTTTGACGTGCTTCTTGGCTCGTTGCTGTGGGGTCTCGAACGCTGTAAGGTCTTGGTTGTGCGAGCGCTGCCAGACCTGGATTGCGTATTCCACATGAGGCCGCACTTAGTTCTTAAGCAACTGCGAAAAGACAGAGGGATCAAACCGCCCGAATGCACTCAGCAGCGTGCCAAAGTGTTGGTTTTCGGTAGTTGACGCCTTCTCAGATAGTTCTGCACAGCCCCATCAGCCTGAACTATTATCCCAAGGGCGCGTTCCTGGATGAGTGCTTGCAGAACTTGGTATCCAAACTTGTATGTGATATTCGGCAGGTGGCGAATGTGAACCACCGCACACTTCGTCGAGTTGAACTAAAGAATATTGTAGTTTGACAGCACATACCCTCTGTTTAGGTCTGTCTGAAGTGCATGCTGACCTCCTGGGTCGACGATCGTCCGCTACAACTTAACACCGTCAGCAAACACCAAGAAATCTGGGGCAATCAAACAAGTAAGCTCGTTCATGAACACGAGAAAAAGACGCGGCCCCAGAACTGATCCCTGTGGAACTCCACCTTCGACATAAATCGGATTGGACAGCGCTCCTCGAACTCTGAGCTGGAGTTGCCGATCCTGCAGCAAATTCCTGATCCACCCAAGGACAAGATCACCAACTGCATAGCTTTTTAGCCTGTGCAGCTGGATGCGGTGATCCTGTCGGTCAAAGACTTTGGAGAAGTCAAGTTAAATGACGTCTGCCCCTCTGCCTGTATCGGCCGCTTCCGTCCAACTACTGCGTGCAATCAGTAGGTTGGCAGTGCATGAAAGGTGCTGGCGGATAGTGTTTTGCTCGGGTGTTATGATGGTGTGGCGTTCTAGATGGTCTACTAAAGCCTCGGCGATGATTGCCCCTATCACCTTTGAGAGCACGCGGAGTAGGACCACTGGGCGATACGTGGCGGGTTCCAAGCGATTACAGCTTTTGAAACTTGAAGTCATTACGCCGTTTCCACATGATGGACACAATTTGTTTATCCAAGAGCGTCTGGAAGAAATGCCATAATGGCCAGGCCGACGTTGTTGCTGCTACGTTCAGCACCCTCGGGTAAATATAGTCTATTCTGGGAGAGCTGTAGGTGCGTTGTGAGAGCAATTTCGTCAACACTGCTGTGACAGTAGAATAGATGTTAGTGAGTGCTGAAGTTGGGGTTAGGGGTGTGGGTATGTCATCCTGGCGGACCTCTCTTTGGAAGGTTGGACGTACTGCATTCGTAGGGCGTTGGCTGCCCCTTCGGCACTCTGTGCCACTCTGACTGGAGTGTTCAGTTGGGGTATACCGAGCTTCACTTTCCGGATGGTGTTAACTTGCTTGTAAAGGAACTTTTTGTTGTTGGCAAATTTTCAGGCTAAATGTTGTTGGTGAGTCAATTTGTCCTCACGGACAAGCATGTTACAGTGGTTGCGCTGGGTCACGTAATCGCTCCAGGTTTCGGGACAAGGACGAGTTCTGTGGATGTGTCAA